TCCCCGATTACCCTCCCCCAACACCTTGGCACCATTTAAGAGGTTGACGGTGTGATATTGACAACCTTGAGAAGATACATTTTTTTTTTTTAAAGAGAGAGAGATCACAAGTAGGCAGAGAGGCAGGCAGAGAGAGGAGGAAGCAGGCTCACTGCTGAGCAGAGAGCCGGATGCAGGGCTCGATCCCAGGACCCTGAGATCATGACTGGAGCTGAAGGCAGGGGCTTAACCCACTGAGCCACCCAGGCGCCCCCAACCTTGAGAAGATCCTAAGAAGGATTGAAGTTAGTGGGGGTTTTTTTCCCCAAAAGCCGCCTATCATTGAGCCCTTGATGCTCAACGTCTGAAACACAGATGTGAGGGAAAGTAGTTATATATTTTTTTTTAAATTTTTTATTTCTTTTCAACATAACAGTATTCATTGTTTTTGCACCACACCCAGTGCTCCCTGCAATCCGTGCCCTCTCTAATACCCACCACCTGGTTCCCCCAACTTCCCAACCCCTGCCCCTTCAAAACCCTCAGATTGTTTTTCAGAGTCCATAGTCTCTCATGGTTCACCTCCCCTTCCAATTTGCACAACAGTATTTTGATTGAGGTCTGAGAGTCATATAGGCTATAGCCATTTTATGGGTCAATTCTCCCAGCCCCACCTTTTTTTTTTTTTAAATCATGCAATGATTCACTGTAGTGTTTTTTGCTCTGCCCAAGAGAAAGAGAGAAAAAAAAGAAAATTCCAACAGAAGGGAATTTATCCCATATCTGATGAAAAGGCTTAAATAACTGTATCTTAAGATTTGGGCAGTAACTTCTACCCCTAACTCATATGCACATTCAGGGCTACACAAAGCTATACCCAAACAAAAATCAATTTTGGAATGTCGAACTTAGTATGAGCTGGCTTCTCCACGATTTGAACTTATGATGCCAGGAAGTTCAGCTATTTCAAATCTGAAAAGAATATCACCAAGCCACACCTTTCAAAAAATGTTATTAACATATGATTCTTTCCTAAACAAGGGAAGATGGGAAATCTAGTTGCATTCACAAAGAATGTATGAAGACTGCCAAGAAAGCAAATAATTTTTGGAAGTCACCCTTATTTGGAAATATTCTAGTCATAGAACCATGGTTGTTTAAACAAAAGCATCCACCATATCTCCCTTTGAAAATATGTACTTCCAAAATATATGAGAAGAACTAAATACTGTGTTACTGAGTTCTCCTTTGATTTACTTGAAAATAGCTTGGATTTAAAAAAAAAAAAAAGATAAAGCCCGCCAAGAACTACAAGTAGCTTCCTGTAGGCAATTGTGATGTAGTGGAAAAGGCAAAACCTCTGTAGTCACACAGACCTGTTTTGGAAGCTTGGCTGCACTCTTAACTAGCTGGGTGACCTTGGGCAAGTAACTTTATCTTCCCTATGATTCATCTGCGAATATAATTAAATTTTATTAAATGAGAAAACAGATGTGAAAGTGCTCATTGAAGGATAGTTCCCCCTAGGCCCCAGTGGAAAAACAGAGTAGTTATACATGGTTATTATAATATAAAGTAATAAACAAATACATGTCTTAGTACGTGTGCCAAACTATTTACATGAGTTCGAAAAGGCTTGACAATGGAACGTGATGTTTGGCCAAGTGCAAAATTATACACTGGAGTGAGATGCATTGAAATGAATTCTATTTATTTGACTTTAAATTGCTCCTATAAAAATCTTTTTTAGGGTCAATGGGTGCTTTATGAAATGTCTCTCGGCAAGACATCTAGAAATTCTAATTATAAAAATGTCGGGTCTCGTTATTTCTAAGGGAATTATGAGAACAAGATCAATGAAAAGAAATATCCACAGTTTCTACTGTTTTAGCCTCCAGCCTAAAAGGAGCAGATGAGGTGACTCTGAGTAGATCAATGGCAAAATTATAAAGTAGCCACCTGACCTCAAGGCATTCTCTTAGTTGTCCAATAAATTCATGATGTCCCTAGCTGTGCTGAAATAATTGTGCCAAGGAACCTATGCTCTACTCTAATTAAGCCTTATCATCTAGGGGTCAACAAACTATGGAACAGGGGCCAAACTCAGACCACTTTGTTTTTGTAAATAAAGTTTTATTGGAACACAGCCATGCCCATTCAGCTATGTGTTATGACTGCTTTCATACCACAGCAAACAGTATTAAGTAGTTGTAGCGGAGACCATCTGGCCCACAAAGACTGAAATATTTACTATCTGGATTGTTACAGAAAAATTGTGCTAATCTCAGCTGTAACCCCTAACAACCCGCTTGCTCCCTAAAATCAAAGACAATATATTTAAACTATCCAGGGGATATTTTCATTTTAAGATGACCATATTAACTCCATCTGTAGATTGCCTGGGAGAACATTTCTGAGCAGAGAGAGAGAAAGAGTTCTCTTTGTGCACCTGGCTCATGCTTATTCCCTTTCCAAAATGATAAAAGTCAGTGGTGTGACACCGTATGTTGCAAAGTTTGCCAAATTTTGACTTCAGGGTGACTGTAGACTTTGCATTATAGCAAAGGCATGTGGAGGCTAATCTTCAGTTAGCTGACTTTATTTTACTTAAATAAACCTTATTATAGCCAAAGTCAGCTTTGGGGAGTGGTGGGGGGCATCCACCAGTCTCTAAAGAGACCTGCTCTGAAATAACATGGCTGAAATGTATTAGCTGTCCAACATTCTTTGTCAGATTTTGAAAACCTTGAGAATCAGAGCAATGATATTTCTTGGAATACTGAACAATGAGCTAGAGCCCTGTTGAGTCTCATAAACCTTCCTCCCAAATCAGAACTGACAATCAGTCGGATTCAACCCATAGTTCATCCTCCCAAATAATGTGGTTTGAATGATAAGAAATCCAAATGAAGTAAAACAGTGACTGAAAAAAATGGAGGAAGACGAGTCAGGGATCGGGGCAAAATCTCCATTCTGAGTGTTCAAGATGGACCATCGCTGCTATAAGCATGGAAAAGCTTTCACTTACTTGTGTCAGAGGGTCTTTAATACAAAAAGCTGGAGGAGAGAAAGTCAAGATTAGTCTGGCTTTCTTTCCTCCTCGTGGACACATTCCAAGGTAAAGTTCAAGCTAATGCTAGTCTTGGTTATTTAGTTATCTAATGCCTGCAACAAAAGTAAAGCCCTCTCCATATTTTTCCCGAGGAGTTGCAGGTTTTAAATATATTTTCAAATAAAAGCAGTAGGGGGAAGCTTCTTTTTAAAAATAGGATCTAAGGGGCACCTGGCTGGCTCAGTCGGTAGAACATGTGACTTTTGATCTTGGGGTTGTGAGTTCAAGCCCCACACTAGGTGTAGAGTTTACTTAAAAAACGATAAGCAAAAATAGGATCTGAATAAATGTCAGCAAAGTTGAGAGTCTCGGCACCGAGGAAGGGGAAATTTTAAATGGTAAATTAGTATATCTTTAGCCACAAAGCCACATATAATGACATAGATTCATACCTTTCACAAATAGCTCTTTCTCAATTCTAAATCTGGTTCGACCATTTGGTTGGTAAGAAACTTCATTTCTCGGTTTTTCTCTGAGACAGGGAAAAAAAGAAAAACCAGAATGAAAGCTATTCCTGGAACAATGTGGCAATTTTAGGACTCTAGGTTCTAAGTTATGTTATAAGCCTATCCAGGTATGTGCTTATCCTTTTGGAGGAAAAGAAAAAGGGGCTTTTGCCGCAATCACTGGGGGAATTTTGACACCAGACATGTCAGAGCAAGGCAATAGGACAAGTCTCCGAGCATCAGGAACGTCACCACTGATTGGGTCAGTAATTCTTTTGGAGAGCCCAAGTAATGAAATGCCACCAGGTTTTAACAATGATGTAGGGACAATAGCCATCCATCCGACAGGCTTAGGGACAAGAACCACCGGAGTTGCACAAGGGGTATGTGTCCTTAAAGCTGAGTAGGGCCCTTTCAGGCAGCTGTGGATGAGGGGACTTGGACCATGTCTCCCAGGAAGGAAGACACAAAGAGAACAACACTATAGGCAGAGAACTGGAATCGTACTGAGTTCTCCCAGTGTCTGCACTTAAGGCCAAGTTCACCTTGTCTAAAATAAGACAGCTTGGGATTTTCAGGAGGCCATGTCAACTGGTCATCAGGAATCAGGGGGGACAGTTTTAACTTATACACAGATGGAGCAAGCAGAGGGCTTTTTAGACTGTGAATCGCATCATGTGAAACTTTTTCAATGGGTTCCAATCTCTTCAGAACCAAATCCAAAATCTGAATCATGGGCCAATATGTTTGTTATCCTGGCTACTTCTCAGACCTCATGTCTCACTTCTTTGAACATCCTGCTCTGGGCATGCTCTTGTCCTTGTCAGAACATGCCAAACGTATTCTTGCCTCCGGAACTTCATATTTGCTGCTCTCATGATCTGGAATGTTCTTGACTTGGACCTTTGCAAAGTTTGCCTTTTCACTACATTGATGTCTCTCGTCACACATCACCAGCTAAGAGAGGCTGCCCCTGACTTGACATAAAATTCGCTTTATCCCCTCATCCCGCCTTAATTTTCCTTCTAGGGGTGCCTGGGTGGCTCAGTGGGTTAAGCCTCTGCCTTGGGCTCAGGTCACGGTCTCAGGGTCCTGGGATCGAGCCCCACGTCGGGCTCTCTGCTCAGCAGGGAGCCTGCTTCCCTTCCTCTCTCTCTCTGCCTGCCTCTCTGCCTACTTGTGATCTCTGTCTGTCAAATGAATAAATAAAATCTTTAAAAAAAATGTCCTTCTAGTAATTATCACCATGTGATGATAGGATACCTATGTGTTGACTAATTTATTACCTGTGCCTCGCCAGACCACAAGTTCCATGAGGGCAGGAGACTTGGTTTTGCTCATGCCTTACCCCGAGACTTAGAATAGGGCCTGGCACATAGTGGGTATTCAGCTAATATTTGTTGACTGAATAAATGAATTAAAGCAGATATTCAAATGAATCAACTTTTGTAGAAATTTCGTTTCTAAACCGGGCGAGCCTTGAAATAGCAAAAACAGTTACACATAGGAAAATCAAAAGTTGTTTTTTTCTTTTTAAGAAGGTTACAGGCCCAGCACGGAGCCCAGCATGGGGCTTGAACTCACCACCCCAAGATCAAGACCTGAGCTGAGCTCAAGAGTCAGCTGCTTAACCGACTGAGCCACCCAGGGGCCCCCAAAATAAAAATTTTGACACTTCTGAAAAAGTAAATGCCGTAAATGATCTTTGCCATTTCACAATTGAACCCACATTTCCACTTCACCCTCCATGTGGTCATTTAAGCTTGGTCCCTCTTCAGTAGCAAGACATAGGGTTGGGGGGCACCTGGGTGACTCAGTTGTTAAGCATCTGCCTTCAGCTCAGGTCATGAACTTGGGGTCCTGGGATCGAGCCCCACATCGGGCTCCCTGCTCCGTGGGAAGACTGCTTCCCCCTCTCCCACTCTCCCTGCTTGTGTTCCCTCTATCACTGTGTCTCTCTCTGTCAAATAAGTAAATAAAATCTTAAAAAAAAAAAGACATAGGTGGATAGAATGTCTGTTACTGGTGTCAGAATCTCTAAACACCCTCACTTTGGCAAGGCTGGAGAGAGAGCTATTGAAATGTCTCTTGTTCCAAAGAATCCCAGAAATACCAGACAGGATCACTCTTTTGGAAAATTAGACCCACGGAGATTGTTGGTCTATTTAAACAGACTCAAGCCCCAACTTACTACATTAGCACTTAGTACTCTTCAACTGCACACGCTTGTATCTGAAGTAGCTTGTGCCCCTTAATCGGTAGGAGAGCCTCATTTGTTTATGGAAACGCTGTGATGCCCTGAACGAATCCAAGGGCTTCCTCTGGAGCACCTTGGAGAGAAAGCTGGCAGGTTCCGGCTGCTCTGTGGGCCTGTGGAGCAAAGACTTTTATCTCTATCAATAAAACTCACCAGCTCAGCCAAGTATGGACAGTGACACCATAATTAGCTCTGCTGTGCACCCAAGTGAACAAACGCTTCCTGAAGTATCTTACGTTACTCTCTTTGGGCATCCCATGTTCTACTTTGATCGAATTGGACCACTTCCGGGGCACCTGGGTGGCTCAGTCGGTTAAGCGTCTGTGGTTAAGCTCTGGTCGTGATCCCAGGTACCTGGGATCGAGCCCCACGTTGAGCTCTCTGCTCAGTGGGGAGCCTGCCTCTCTCTCTGCCTGCTGCTCCCCTGCTTGTGCTCTCTCTCCTTTGTCAAATAAGTAAATAAAATACTTTTTTGAAAATTGGACTACTCCCCTTTACTGACCATTCCCTGTGTTTTCCTGCCTTAATACATTTGGTCCTATTGCTCCCTCCCTTGTATATAAGTTTTTTTTTTCCATATATCTATCATAGTAAACTACATACAGTAAACTATAAGTCCATTCATTCCCTCAATCACAACCTCACATCAAAGAGGAAAAAAAGTAAGTAAATGAGTCCAAAGATCTGGTCAGAAATTTCATTGCTAAAACATGTAGCACACAAAAGTGTCAGTTTTACTCTATGATAACTTTAAAAATAAAATAACAATATACCATCAACGAAGTATACAGGACTCAAAGACATATTCTATTTTTCCCACAATGTCTATCTTGATGCCTTATATAAAATAATGAGGACCAAATTCTCCCACCAACCTCCAAAAAGTTGGTGCCCCAGGTTTGCAAGCATGTGCTTAGACTGTCTATTGGGTAAACCAGCACTGTGTAAGGAGAGAGCCACACTGTTCCCTCCGATTTTAGAATCCTAAAGACAATTATTTCTTTTCTTTTTTTAAAAAAGATTTTATTTATGTATTTGTCAGAGAGAGCACAAGCAGAAGGAACAGCAGGCAGAGGGAGAAGCAGTCTCCCCACTGAGCAAGGAGCCCCATGCGAGGCTGGACTCCAGGACCCTGGGATCATGACCTGAGCCAAAGGCAGAGGCTTAACCCACTAAGCCACCCAGGCACCCCTATGATTATTTCTTTAGTGCAATACAGGGCTGAGGAACGTCCAGAAGTAAGGTTGTCTTGAGTAGAAGTATGAAGGATATTGCTCTTATGCCGATGTCCAGAGAAGATAGCTGTTGCCACAGTGTGACTTGAGGGCCACCGCAGAAGTCTGACCCTACTGACCTGTACTTCTCACCGTATACTCAATCTTTATGGCACTTCAAAAGAAGAAATGAGCAGCTTACCTGGATTGATGCATCCTGCTATGTCAGAAACATAACATCTGTAGGAATTTGTTTACTTAACTAAAATACACTCTTTGAGTAAAGCCAGACTTAAGCTTACTTTAAGCTTACTTCCTAAAGCCAGACATAAGGCCGGTCAACCGTGATGGAGCAGGGAGGTCGGCAGGAGGAGGGAAAAGCTGAAACGTGGTTCATATGAGTTCTGTTTAAATGTGTTGTTCAAGTGATGCTAAGGAGTAACTGAGTTATATAATATCAAACTATTTTTAAGGGAGAGTTTAGATCAGAAAAAAAATACTCTCGCATGTGTCAGATCGCTTGCACAGGACCAAATGCACAGACGGCAAATTACAGATGGAAAATTTCGGGAAAGCAAAAGCAGAGGTTGAAAAGCTCCCTATTCAGGGAAGGGCTGGTCAGCAGGGAGGCAGAGGAAGGAAAGGAGTGGTTTATGCTGTGGGGATGGATTAATTTTTCTATTGCGGAGGCTTGGGGGGATGAGACAGATTTGTCCTTGGCTTGCAGATAAAAAAAGACGATTCTGGGAAAGACAGCCAAGTGCCACAAGATGCTTAAAGCAGTCACAGTCCTTTCTCTAGGGTAGCTAAGCTCATCGTGTGGAATGGAGGGAGATAGGCAGGGGTTTTGCCGCTTGATTGAACTGCTAAAAGTCTAACTCAACAGCTGGAAAGGTAGAAACAGCCCCCAAAACTCATCAATAGATGAATGAATAAGCGAAGTATGGTGTACACTTGCTGCGAAATCTGATTCGGCCACACAAAAGGAATAAAATACGGAGATATACATGCTACAACATGGATGAACTTGATAACATTGTTCAGTGAAACAGCCAGACACAAAAGGTCACAGGTTGCTGGATTCCGCTTCTGTGAAATGTCTAGAATAGGCAAATCCAAACAAACAGAAACCAGATTAGCAGTTGCCGGGGGGAGGGGATGGGAATTTGGGAGCAACTATTTAATGGGGATGGGGTTTCCATTTGTGCTGATGAGACATTTTGGAACTACATAATGCCAGTGGGTATACAGTATTGTAAACCACTTAATTGTTTACTCTCAAATGGTTAATTTTAAGTGAATTTCCTCTCCGTATAAAAACTATTTAAGCTTTCCTCAAATTACAGGGGGCTCTGACTCTAACATTCAATATTGAAGGTTAGATAATTCTTTTTAAGCTGGCCTTACATCAAAATCAGAAAATAATATTGAAGGGTTAATGAGAACCATAGCTAATTGTTTTTATTTATTTAAAAAAAACTTTAAATCCAGTATAGTGAACATACAATGTTATATTAGTTTTAGGTATACAATATAGTGATTCAACAATTCCATACATGTCTCAGTGCTAATTATGGTAAGTGTACTCTTAATCCCTTTCACGTGTTTCACCCATTCCCCCACCCACCTCCCCTCTGGTCACCACCAGTTTGTTCTCTGTAGTTAAGAGTCTGTTTTTTGGTCTGTCTCTTTTTTTTCCCCTCTGCTCATTCATTGTTTCAAAAATTCTACTTGTAAGGGAAATCATACGGTATTCGTCTTTCTCTGACTGATTCACTTCACTTATCATTATGCTCTCTAACTGCATCCACGTTGCTGCAAATGGCAAGATTTCATTCTTTCTTATGGCTGAGTAATATTCTATTGCACATATATAGATGTGCAATAGAATATTATATATATAATGTATGATATATATGTGTATATACATATATACATGTATATATATATATATATATCACATCTTCCTTATCCATTCACCTATCAATGGACACTTGGGCTGCTTCCATGTCTTGACTATTGTAAATAATGCTGCAATCAACATAGGGGAACATAGATATATTTGTGAGTTAGTGTTTTCATATTCATTGGGTGAATACCCAGTAGTAGAATTACTGGATCATATGGTAATTCTATTCTTCATTTTTTTGAGGAACCCGCATGCTGTTTCCCACAGTGACTGCACCAGTTTGCATTCCTATCAACAGGGCACAAGGGTTCTTTTTTCTCCACATCCTCGTCAACACTTCTTGTTTCTTGTGTTATTTTCACCATTCTGACAGGTGTGAGATGATATCTCATTGTGTCGTGTGTGTGTGTGTGTGTGTGTTTCGACCAGACTAAGTGGCCTTACTGGGGGAAAGCCAGGACTACAATAGATTTTAGAATTGGCACTGGGGCCTTTCTTCTCGCCAAAGGTGGGCAACAACATTGACAAAGCGCCGGTTGTACACATCCACCGCCTGGCTCGGCCTATCTCCTTCTGTTTGTCCTGTTTGGCCACCTTGGGAGTCTGCCCTCTTACTCTCCTGGCATGGGCTGGGGAACCATGGACTTCACCTCCAAGCATGTGGCCGGCTACTGCTGGGGTGATCAGAGCCTCCACTCCACACCCACCCAGGGTAGCCTTATCCTCTAAGGGTGTGCCTGCCAAGAGCACAACTTGAGCTTCTGGAGCGATGCCCTCCGGTGAGGCTACAGGAGCCTTGATCTGGGTGACCATCTCCTGGCCGGTCACCTTGAGAGTATGTAGCTCCTGGGCGTGGACAAGGAGCTGCATGTCAGCTACCCACCTGTGGCCACCACAGCCCCTGCCACCTCACTGGGGCTTTGATCTGCATTTCCCTGTTGAGGAGGGATGAGGAGGGATGTTGAACATCTTTTCATGTGTCTGCTTGCCATCTGGATGTCTTCATTGCAGAGATGTCTGTTCATGTTTTCCGTGCATTTTTAAATGGGTTATTTGCGTGTTCGGTGTTGAGTTGTATTAAGTTCTTTATACATTTTGGATGCTAACCGTTTACATGTCATTTGCAAATATCTTCTCCCATTCGGTAGGCTGTCTTTTAGTTTTGTTGTTTCCTTTGCAGTGCAGGGACTTTTTATCTTAATGCAGTCCTAATGTTTATTTTTGCTTTCGTTTCCCTTGCCTCAGGGGACATATTTAGGAAAATGTTGTTATGGACGATGTCAGAGAAATTACTGCCTGTGCTCTCTTCTAGGATTTTTATGATTTCAGGTCTCACATTTAAGTCTTTAATCCATTTTTATTTCATTTTTGTGTATGATGTAAGAAAATGGTGCGGTTTCATTCTTTTGTATGTAGCAGTCCAGGTTTCCCAACACCATTTGTTGAAGAGACTGTCTTTTTCCCATCACATATTCTTGCCTCCTTTGTGTACGTTTAATTGGCCATAAAATAGGGGGCTTAGTTCTGGGCTCTCTATTCTGTTCTATTGATATATGTGTCTATTTTTGTGCCGGTAGCATACCTGTTTTGATTACTACAACTTTGTAGTATATCTTGAAATCTGGGATTATGATACCACCCATTTTGTTCTTTTTCTAGATTGCTTTGACTGTTTGGGGTCTTTTCGGTTTCATGCAAATTTTAGGATAATTTGCTCTAGTTCTGCGGAAAATGCTGTTGGTGTTTTGATAGGGATTGCATTAAATCTTTAGAGTGATTTGAATGTATGGACATTTAAATAATTTTTTTTTCTTCCAGTCCATGGGCGTGGAATATCTTTCCATTGGTTTGTGTCATCTTCAATTTCTTTTGTGACAGTTTCATAGTTTTCAGAGTACAGGTCTTTGCCTCCTTGGTTAAATTTATTCTTAGCTATTGATTTTGATACAACTATAAATGGGATTGTTTTCTTAATTTTTTTCTCTGCTGCTTCATTATTAGTGTATAGAAATGCAATGGATTTCTGTATATTGATTTTATATCCTGTGACCTTACTGAATTAATTTATCCATTCTAGCTAATTATTTTTAAACTTCTCTACTTCTATAAACTTTGATTTACTTTTCTACTTTAGTGAAAAAACCCATTTTACTTGGGGCGCCTGGGTGGCTCAGTGGCCTTCGGCTCAGGTCATGATCCCAGGGTCCTGGGATGGAGCCCTGCATCAGGATCTCTGCTCAGCAGGGAGCCTGCTTCCCCCTCTCTCTCTGCCTGCCTCTCTGCCTACTTGTGATCTCTGTCTGCCAAATAAACAAATAAATAAATCTTTAAAAAAACAAAAAACCATTTTACTTAATACAGAATATGTATAATCAGTAGTAATACTCAAAATATTTAATAACTTGTACAGCATAGACACTGACTGATCAGATATGATGCCAGCTATCAACCACCAGTGGACGAATGTCTTTACTTGCTATATCTCTAATAACCAAATGTGATGGTTAATTTGATATGTCAACCCGATAGGGTCACGGGGTGCCCATCTATCTGGGTCAGCGTTGTTCCTGGGTGTGTCTGTGAGAGTATTTCCAGATGAGATTAGCATTTGAATTGGAATCCTGAGTAAAGTTGATCGCCCTCCCTAATCATTCAATCTGTTAAAGGCCTGAATGGAACAAATGGCAGAGGAAAGGAGAGTTTGCCTCTTGTGTACCTGATTGCATGAGCTCAGATACACTTCTTCTACCTTCAGACTAGGAATTAAACCATTAGCTCCACTGGTTCTCAAGCCTTCAGACTTGGGCTGACCTATGCCAGTGGCTTTCCTGGGTGTTTGGTGAGCACAGGGCAGATCATGGGACTTCCCAGCCTCCATAATTGTGTGAACCAATCTCTCTCTATAGATAGAGGATAGATAGATAGATAGATAGATAGATATAGGTAGATAGTTATCTCCTATTGGTTCTGTTTCTTGGGAGAATTCTAACTAATACACTAAGTAATAGGAAGCTTAGCTGAGCAAACAACGAAGACATAACGAAGGCTCTGTCACGTCCCCTGTGACTGCATCTGATTTACGCACCTACTACACAGGGGAAAATAAATAGCTTCATGGGCACTGGTTTTAAAAGCCAATCATGATGGCTTAACAATATGAATGTACTTAAATCCATTAGCTGTACGCTTAAAATGATTAGAATAAATTCCAGGTTATGTGTTTTTCCCACAATTAAAAATGTTGTAGTAACAACTGCAAATGCTGGGGCACCCGGCTAGCTCAGTTGGGGGAACATGTGACTTGGATCTCGAGGTTGTGAGTTCGAGGCCCCCGTTGAGTGTAGAGATTACTTAAAAATCTCTAAAAATACATAAATAAATAAATTAAAACTACAAATGTTTTTTAAAAGCCAGTCATATATGTTTGCAAAGTGTTACAGACTAAATGTTTGTGTCCCCTCAAAATTTATATATATTGAAGCCTTGATCCCCACTGTAATGATATGTAGAGATGGGGCCATTGGGAGGTAATTAGGGTTCAATGAGGTCATAAGGTAGGGGCCTGGTCTGAGGGGATTAGTACCTTACTAGAGGTGACACCTGAGAGTGCGCTCTCCCTTCCCCCACCCCACTCTAACACAAAGAAGACCTGTGAGGACAGGGCTAGACAGTAACCATCTGCAGACCAAGAGAAATGACCTCAGAACAAAACCTATCTTGTCAGTACCTTGATGGCGGACTTAGAGAACCGTGAGAAATAAATTCCTGTGGCTTAAACCAAGTCTATGGTATTTTGTTATGGAAGCTTGAACTAAGATATAAAGATTCCAGTTTTTAGGGGGGCCTGGGTGGCTCAATCAGTTAAGCTTCCCTCTCCTGACTTCACCTCAGGTCATGATCTCAGGATGGCGAGATCGAGCCCCGCTCAGTGTGGGGCCTGCTTGAGATTCTCACTCTCTCTCTTTGTCCCTTTCCTTCTCCCCGTTCTTCTCTCAAAAAAAAAAAAAATTCCAGTTTTTAAACTTTTCTCATTTATATAAAGATACATATTCCTTATGTTTAAGGAAGTCAGAGAAGGATTTATACCCCCATCCTGAGGGCATTCTGTGTATGGGCCCTTTTTCTACAGTACTTTCTTGGTTATTTGGAATACCGAATATGCTTATGTGGTAAAAACACAACAGACCCTTTAGTGTTTATCCAAAGAATGATAGGAAGATAAAGTGATCTTCTCTTTCCATGTTTTGGAACACTAAGTGAACATGTTAATATTTATTACTGATAAGTTGTAGATAACATTGGGGTTTGTTTTGTCGTTCCTAAAGTTAGTTAGGAACATTGAGGTCTTTATTTTTCTAGTACATTGCTTTGAAGAAGTTGATTTGACCTTTCTAACGTATTAGTGAGTAGTTTATTGCTTGGCTTAAACACTCTAGTGCTTTCTTTTGCATTGTCTGTAACAGAAACAATCATGAAGCTATACATCTTGCCCCAGTTTCTATCATGAAATTCAGGCACCAAATGCCAGGCAAGGGCCTCCACAGACCCTTATCTGAAGTCAAACTATGTAGACATGTCACATAGGGCTGAAGTGATAAATTTGGAAGCCCTTCTTTTTTTTATCATCTTTTCTTCTGCTGTTGTACTTGTCTCAGACAAAACACATTTATGCTCTGATTCCTATGGTTGAGATGCGGATCAGGGTGACCTGATTTGCAGCAATCTGACCAGGAACATAAAATTCCATCTCATCTGTAGAGCTTAGAATCATTTGCCCTACAAAAATAAAAGAATGATTTGTCTCCTACATCTTCAAGACCCAATTTCCCTTCTGTAAGGAGGAAAGCAAAAGTTTGGCCAAAATCTGTAGAAGGTAGACTTGCTACACGTAGAACAATGTTACTTTTGTATAGATTTCTGAAATCAGCTTTCATCTGGAGTGCATTAGGGGCCCCTGGGTGGCTCATTTGGTTAAGTGTCTGCCTTCCCTTCAGGTCGTGATGCTGGGGTTCTGGGATCGAGCCCCATGTCAGGCTCCCTGTTCAGCAGGAGTCTGCTTCTCCCTCTGCCACTCCACTGACTAATGCTCTCTCTCTCTCATATAAATAAAATCTTTAAAAAATAAAATGCTTTAAAATGATGGTGAACTTTTCTATTCATATTTTTGGTATCATTCATTTTTTAATTTTAAAATATTATTCACATGGCATAATGTAGTAGTCAATGTAATCCAAAGGCTGACTCTTTGACCATATTAGTAAACTTCAACAGTTAGGAAAAACAAGCTGGGGGTCACGAGTGATGTGCTGAGTTGGGAGAAGAGAGCGTGAGGTTCTCTGTGCTGTGTATTGCCTAGCCCACCCCAGAGCAGCAGCCAATGCTATGTTAATATCTGAGGAGAAGGCCACATAGAAAATAAAATTAAATTAAAGGCTCCACGCAGATGAGATAAATGTGGGAAAAGAAGCATGTACACAAACAGAAGTAAAATACTAGTGGGTTTTGATGCTCAAAGAAATGCATTAATTCAGATGAACATTTTTCACTCGTATTTGGAGTTCCCATTCATCTTTCAAATTTTTGCGTGGATTTTAATCAACATACTTAGCTTCTGGACACACCTGCAAACATACTGTTCTAGTTTGTAATTGTAAATTATAATTTAGAAATGTTTTAATCAATATGGATTCAAATAATAACTTTCTTAAAAGAATACCTTTTTTAAGATTTTATTTATTTATTTGTCAGAGAGAGTGAGCACAGGCAGACAGAGTGGCAGGCAGAGGCAGAGGGAGAAGCAGGCTCCCCCTGAGCAGGGGGTCCAGTGTGGGACTCGATCCCAAGATGCTGGGATCATGAGCTGAGCCGAAGGC